GCCGTGGTATTAGAGGAGAAGATTGAATCCGGAGGGAGCGGCAAAGCTGTTGAGAGCTGAAGGAAGCTAGTACAAAAGTGTTGCCTCCTGGGGTCAGAGGGGACTAATATGTGGGAGACAATGAAGGTAGGAGAGAACTGTAGAGAGTTTGGTCCAGTAGAAACTGGGATTGTAGGTAGGAAATGTGGGCCTTAAGAGCATCTCCGTTTGGAACAAATTATAATAGAAGGCTGTTACTAAGTCCCTGTCAGTGGAGAGCAGATAGGAGCTACAAGATTGCACAATTAGAGGTATGTAAAAGTGTCCAGATGGAAAAGTTGTCTCTGGTGAAGATATAGTGGTGACTACATTGTTTCATTCGCTAAAGAATATGGAGAGTGGAAAATCAGAAGTATGAATTAGTTGACATTGACTTAGGCCCTTCTAGGCAGTAGATCTTATACTGTTGTTGTTGTTAAGTACCGTGGAGTTAGTTCTGACTCATAGTGACCCTGTACAAGGTTTCAGAGGCTGTAAATCTTTACGGGAGCATAACACCTCATCTTTCTCCCGTGGAACCTCTAGTAGTTTCGAACACTGACCTTGAGGTTAGCAGCCTGACTCACAACCACTATGCTAGATCTTATACTAGTAACGTTTATTTCACTCTGTCAATCCTCACTCATTTGTCAAAAGTTTGTTGGTGTTATGTGTCATCATGTTAGTTCCAACTCACAGAGACACTATGAACAACAGAATGAAACACTGCCCGGTCCTGTGCCATCCTCATTTTTTTTTACATTTGAGCTCCTTACTGTTGCTTTTGTGCCAATCCATCATGTCAAGGGTCTTCCTCTTTTTCACTGACCCTCCATGATGTACTTCGCCAAGCTGAAAACATTTCCAAAGCATTATGAAGTCCTGTAATCTCTGTTTTTAAGGAACATTCTGTCTGTACTACTTCCAACAGAGTTTTGTATATTTTACTTCCAGTTCAGGATACTTTCAATATATTCTTCTTCAACCATAATTCAAATGTGTTGATTCTAATACAGTCTACCTTATTTACTTTATTTCCACATGCATATAAGATGGTTGTAAATGAAATCGTTTGGGTCATGAGTACCTTAGTCCTTAAACTGATATCTTTGCTCTTTTAAAGAGTTTTTTTTGCAGCAAATTTACCTAATGCAAAATCGTTTGGTTTCTTGAGTGTTGCTTCCATTAGTGTTAATTCCAAGCAAAATGAAATCTTTGACAACTTCAATCTTTTCTTCCTTTATCACAATGTTAATGTAATGTTATTCAGTTGCCAGGAATTTTGTATTCTTTACCTTGAGTTTCAATCCATACTGAAGGCTGCAGTCTCTGATCTTCATCAGTAAGTATATGAATTCATCTTCACTAAAATCATTTTTTAATTATCTTCTGTAAAATCTTCCTTGCATGTGATATTAATGATAGTTTTCAATGATTTCTTCATTCCATTGGTTCACCTCTCTTTCGAATGGGCATACATATGTATTTCTTCCAATTGGTTAGGCAGGTAATTGTCTTTCAAATTTCTTGGCATAGCCAAGAAACTCTATCATATCAATTTGTATTCCATCAATTTCTTGAGCATGGTTATTGCCCATGTCTTCAGTGTACCTGGGACTCATTTCTTTAATGCCATTTTTTATTGAAATGAGTGAACATTGACCAATTCTTTATGGCAGAGTGACTATATTCCTTTCATCTTCTTTTGATGCTTCCTACATCATTCAATCCTTCTCCAGTGACTGGTCCCTCCTGACAATATGTCCAAAGTATGAGAGATAAAGTTTGCAAATCTTGGCCAAAAAGGAGCACTATCATGTTTGGTAAGGTGGAGGGTCAGAGAAAAAGAGGAACACCCCCGATGAGATGGATTGGCCAAGTGGCAGCATCGATGGACTCAAGTGTGGCAACAGTAGTGACGTTGGTCCAGGATCAGGCAGTGTTTCATTCTGCTGTACATAAGGTCGCTATGAATTGGTACCCACTCAATGACACCTAACAACACAACAACGTAATTCAATATTTTGCCCATAGAATCTTTCAATATAGCAACCCCAAGCTTGAATTCTTTTTTCAGTTCTTTCATATTGAAAAACAGTGAGCACAGTCTTCTTTTTGCTTTTCTAACTCCAGGTCTTTGCATATTTCATTATAATTGCTTTCTCTTCAAAAGTTGTATTTTGAAATTTCCATTCAGCTCTTTTACTACCTCATTTCTTCCAGCTGATTTAGGTTCAGTTTCTCTATGCTAATGAACAAGTAAGAGGAGATCTCTGACATCCATTTTTGCTTTTTCTTTCCTTCCTGTCTTTTAATTTTCATGGATAATTTTCTTGATGTTATCCCACAAATTTTTGGTGTTCTGACATTAGTGTCTAATGTAGCCCTGTAGGATAAGCACTGGACTACTAACATGAATGTTGATGATTCAACCACCTTGGAAATTCTATGCAGTATCACTGTAAATCTGAATTAAATAGATGACACTTAGCAACACAAAAAAAAACTGCACCTAATACATGAAATCTATTCTTGAGTTGTTGTTAAGTGCCATCAAGTTGGATCTGACCCATAGTGACCCTATACAGGGTTTCCAAGGAGCGACTGGTGAGCTTGAACCAACCACTCTTCTTGAAAGGGTCTCTAAATTCAGGTGGGATAGGTTCAAAGTCATGTTTTGTCCTCCATGAACTTGTTTGAGTTTTCTTCAGCTTCAGCTTGAATGTGAATATTTGCAATTGATTGTACCACTGCTTTGTTTTGTCTGATGATATTGGGCTTCTCCTTCACGATTCACAGATGTACTCTATTTGAATACGTGTGGTGGAAGGATTCAACCACGATGCACACCTTTCCTGATTTTAAACCACATAGTTTCCCCTTGTTCTGCTTCAACTATTGCATCTTGGTCTATGTATAGTTTCTGTATGAGAATATTTAAGTATTTTGAATTTCCATTCTTCACAAAGTTATCTATAGTTTGCTTTGATCTACACATTCAAATGCCTTTGTATAGCCAATAAAATACAAGCAAACATCTTTCACTTCCTTTTCAAGTCCTTCTTTTAATTCTTTTCATAGCAGTCAACATGGTAACTAGATACAATCTAGCCTTTATTGCCTCAAGGTAATGTTGACTGGATTTCTACAGGCCATTGTTGTTAAAATATCATGGAGTTGGTTCTGACTCATAGTGATCCTGCACAGGGATTCTGAGGCTGTAATCTAATCTTCATTGGAGCAGAAACCCTCATCTTTCTACCATGGAACGGTTGGTAGTTTCGAACTGCCGACTTTGAGTTTAGCAGCCCTATTCATAACCACTATACTATCAGAGCTCTTTATGGGCCATTAGTCCCTTGGAATATTTGTTTCCATGCTTCTTTATTGTACTTCACCCTTTACCTTAAAAGAGTGCTGTTGCTTTTTGGGTTTATCTTATGCCCAGTGATCCAATTAAATGTTAGATGTTTTTGCCAGGAATTGTCTTCTGTTGGGTGCTATGTTTGTCCCCTAAGGCCTGATAGTTAGCTGAAACTCTAATAAGCCTTCAACTCTGTAATTGAAGATCAGTACATCCTTAATAAGGGAAACTCAGCTTCTCTCTATGGATCTTGTTTAATAAAATTCCCACTTCTTGGTAACTTACCATCAACTGCTTCAAATATTGCATGTACATTTGTATTCATGTATTCCAGCTTTATTTCATTTTGGAATCTTATTATTTCTGAGACATCCTGTGACTTTTGCAATGTTTCCCATTCTTCTGATCTCATCATGTGAGTTTTCCAGGTTGACAGGTACTCACGGTAAATCTATTGTAATCTTTGGCTTGATAAACATAGTTGGAGTCATATAATTATTGGGAAGCTTATATGAAAAACAAGTAAACTTTGCTCTAGTATGCTCTAGTATGTTTACTATAGGAAACAGCAGAGTTTAAAGTCAATGGTATCAGATGTCTTTCCAAGGAGAAGATGGTGTGTTTGAAATACTAATCTGGTAGTTGTTGTTAAGTGCCGTGGAGTCGGTTCCGCCGACTCATAGCGACCCTACACAGGCTTTCCAAGGCTGTAAATCTTTACAGGAGCAGACAGCCTCATCTTTCTCCCGCAGAACTGCTGGTAGTTTTGAACTGCTGACCTTGTGGTTCACAGCCCGATTCGTAACCACTACGCTACCAGAGCTCCTTAATCTGGTGGTTAGCAGCACAAAATAAAGACTCTCAGAATGTTGCTGTTGATAACAGTTACCATTTAAGTTCCTATACATAGCCCATGCTGTCTAGGGTTTCCAAAGACCTGGTGGTGGATTTGAATTCATTGGCTTTGGAGTTTTAACAGAACTTGTAGTCTAGTCCTAATCTTATAATGTCAGTTGCTGTTGTCAAGTCAATTCTGACCCATAGTGACACTGTATAGGGTTTCTGACGAGAAGCTGGTGAGCTTGAACAACTGACCTTGCAGTTCAAATGGCTTTGCACTCTGGCGCATTAACCCACAGTGCCACACCAAGATACCATATAATGCCAGTAGAGTATGTTAAATACAATTCTTCAGATTCCCTAGCAGGTTTGTGTGTGACAAAACCTGGCTGCTAGTCCAAAATTGCATGTTGTGTTCATAACCCAGCAGACTCTTGTATGATTTGGGAATAACTGTATCAGTGGGTTGAATAAGCAGGAGCACTAAAAAATGGGTAGCCTTTTCTAAATGAAGAAATCTTTTTCACCCATAGGAACAAAAGAGGAACTTGAGGTCGTGCCTTGACTGACCAGGAGAATTGCATATTTCAGTTTCACATCTTCTGTTCTGCCAACACGCTGCAAGAATAGTTGTCAGCTACTATTGTGAGCTGAACTTCTATTGGAACTAATTTATGCAACAGAGAACCAGCGGCCTCACAAGACATCTAGGGAAGGACGTACTGAATCCATCACTCGTAAGAAGACTCTCTCAGACGGAATCTTCCTTCACCCTAGAATGGCAACTGCTGAATCCCTTGAAGGACTCCTGGCAGACACCAAATGCCCCATCTGTCTGGATTGCCTGAGAAACCCTGTCACCATCGAATGTGGTCACAACTTCTGTCACTCCTGCATTGAGCACACCTGGAAGGATCAACATGACATATTTCTTTGCCCTGTGTGTCGCCACTCATGCCAAGACATGCAGCTGAGGAACAACACCCAGCTGGGAAATATGGCAGAAATTGCCAAGCTGCTTCACATCACCATGAGCAAGATGGAGAAAGAGGAAGAGACAAGCTTGTGCAAGAGTCACAATCAGCTCCTGAGCCTTTTCTGTGAGGAGGATCAGAAGGT